TTTTCAAAGTTCTTCAAAAAGATGGTAAACTCGATTGTCGCATTAGGGGGCAAGTTGTATTCCGGAGGTGGGTTTGGTCCGTAAGTAAACCTATATTAACATGTTAGTCATAAGCGAACATCGATTTATATTAGAAAATTCAAGCTTGTCTTACTTTGTGCCACTGAGTTTGACAACAGACTTCTCTCCACGGCAGAAGCGGCGCAGGGCACGATCAACGCCTTCCGGGAGACCAACCTGAAACAACAACATCTTTATTGCAGCAATACTGTGATATACCGCGAGAGTATACCTCGGATCCCTCGCCAAGTACGAAATTCACATCCTTGTCAAAAAAGACTTTGCCTTCGTAAGTGCCAACAGCGTGGACTGCAAAGTGATTATCAGCTCAAAACAATGAGACAATCGCGTAACATTTAATACAGAATATGTAGGGAGCTACACAACTTATGAAATATGTGGCTAAGAACCAATCCTCCGCATACCTTCGACTGGACTTGTGTCATTAGGATTGGCGAGCTTCTCGCCTTCGACGATGACACTGCGTGTGATAGTGCCATCCCGGTTTGGAGAGATGTCCTCAGCTTGCCAATCTATGAGTTCTACCTTAAGATTTTAAAAATGAGAGATTGAGTACAAAAGCTAAAGCAGGCTTCAAACCTCAAAGTTCAACGTGGCATTTGGCGGAATTTTCGGCATACTACCGCTCTCGCCATAACCATAATCAGAACGAATTTTGAAATCGGCAATTTCTCCTTTCTTCATCGTAGCCACACCAAGATCCCATCCTTTGATAACCTAAAAGAAAAGATATAGACAATAAGTTAATAGTGATATATGCTAGAAAAGAAAACTTACTTGTTCCCGCCCTAACAGGAATGAAAACTCGCTGGCTCGGTCACGGCTTGAATCGAACTTCTCACCATTTTCCAAGGTTCCAACATAGTGCACCTAAAGTACTGCGCAGATGGTTGCTCATTGGTAGGGTGGTGCAATAAATGCTTTATAAAAAGCTTGTAGTATATCTAATTGCTATTGAAATATGTTATTAGAATAGAGGTTTTCATTTGTAAAGTCAACATCAACACTGTCAACTGAGATTCTAGGAAACACACTAAATTTTGCCAATATGAACAAGAAAATCACCTCCAGGTATTACTAGTACCAAAGATAAGTATGCAAAAACTGTGATATAATATTTATTTTTCTGTATCTGGCTAAATACAATGATTTCGATAAGATGTTTTAAATGGTTAATGGAAATAGATCTGTAGGGGCGGTTTTTAAAGTCATTTCTTCAAACCAATGGGTTCTATTCTTTCTTTTTTGGCGATAAGAAAAGTACCGCTTAGAGAACAACGTTACCACAATCGCACTATTGCAAAAGAACGCCTAGGAGCACAAATATGTGGCAGGGCAGCATTTTACCCCTACATTAATACTCCCAAAAAATTTTGGATGTCGTGCTAGCTCAAAGTGAAAAACTGTCCACTTCCAGTCGTTTGTCGCTATCAGGAAAATGTGACGTTAATTTGGGAGATTTTGGGATCTAAAGATGATGAGAAAACTGGTGGGCAAAATTACGATAAAGATAGAAATAGATAGCAACCAGACCGTTGAAAA